TAAAACAAAGCACTTATTAAGTTAAATATATTGGTATGTTTACATTTGAGCAGAACAAAAACCCCTCTCTACTGTATTTTGGACCTCTCTGGTGTATTTGAAGGTGTTCTACAGATCCAGGGTACTCCAAGACATGGTTTCAAAAAACAGGATGGGGAAAAGAGGAATATAGTTCCATTAACATAACTGCTCTTACCTACTTATGTTTAAACTGAGTAGCTCTGAACAGCACACACCAGCTGGTTCTGCCATGCATTTTTGTTGCCACCACTAGTACTTTTTTGAGGGGGGTGAGGTGGAATTCTCTTTCCAATTTACAGATTACTAATCTTGATGTTTCACCCCACAGAAAGTTTACTCGTATGTACCAAAAAACATAAACTCATGTTGTACGTGTATAAAGGTTTGTTTATCTTATCACCAAGAACAAAGTAAGCATGCCTCTGCAAAACTCCACAAAAACAAAATTTATGCAGATGGTCTTTCCTTTTTGGTTTTCCTTTAATTTGCAAATCTTGTAATCTAAGACTGAAGTTGACTGAACCAACATCCCAACCAGCACAGTAGTATCAGCCAAAAAACACAATCTGTTTCCCATTTATGTGTCAAGCCTGCATCCTTTCTGGGGGCTGTGAAAACTATTGTTTTGAAAAGATTATATAGTGAATCATAGACTGGTTTGGGTTGGAAGGGGACCTTTAAAGATCAGCTAGTCCAACCCCCATGCTAGACATTTCAGTCATTTTACTAGATGGAAAATTTGACTCTTAAAGTACAAAAATGTGTGTACCAAAAGCCTGTCAGTAACTCGGAGACAAGACAAAAGTTTAGAAAACACAAGCTTCATCTTCTCTGGTAAAAGATTCATTGTGTGGAATACAAGTGTTGAGATTAGTGGCAAATCTCTCTCTACAGAATGTTTACATAAAGCAGGTGCAAAGTTTAATATTTTAGATACACTAAAATAAATGTTTTTAAGGCAGGTTCTCAATCATGACTGCCACAAAGAAGTTAAGATTTAAAATTAAGAAGTATTACACTTAATGTTAAGCCATTAATACTGATATTCAAAGGAACCTAAATCTGATCAGCATCTATCATATCAATGACCACAATATTAGGTTACATTACAAAAGAGATGCAATCCACATGCCAAGTTACCCAGAAAATGATTTCTAAGTTAAAAGGTTGTTAAATCTGTGGGAGACATACTAAAATCTATCAGGACCTTTTTAGACCTGTCAAAAATCTGTAATTCAGTAAAACATTAGGGGATCTCCAAGGTAAACTATCGTATTTCTAAATTCCCAAAGAGATCTTTCACTGTGGAAATGACAATGAAAAAAAGTTCAGGAATTAAACATAAATCTAAACACTGATTTCAGGCAAACATTATTTTGCATGAAGTACTTTTATACATATCTTTACTTCATAATGAAGGAAAGGAGTCCTTGTGTAGCATCACAGACCAAATTATTCATTAATTTCTTTGCATTAAAGTACACAGTACATTAATGAGTGAAAAATACAGAAGTTATTTAATATCAGTCATATTTTTAAAAATAAATTAATGACTGCTTGCAAATTCTCTGGATTACAGATTGACAAATGTTCTACACTAAAAAGAATACCTTTTTATGATATTTCCCTCATTATAGTCTATTTACAGCTAAAGGAAAAGAGAGAAATTTCCTGATGGTAACCACTAATGCAGACTAGTAGTCAGAACCAGGAAATCCCAGCTCCTAACTTCAACGTGTCAGTATCTCATTGATACAGTCCTAAGAGATGAAATACTATTACATGACAGTGCAGAGGATCTAGATAAAAATTATATTCTAACAGATTTGTATTAATTAAATGGCTTACTATCTTTAATACTTAAAACTTGTTCATATCTACTCATTTCCGTACCTGCTGAAGTGAAATTGCTCAAAGACATTTTATGCATTTGAATATATGTACTGATGAGTCCATAAAAATGACAAAACGTATCAACACATTTGTATGTATGATCACATATCTATCATGCAGAACTGTGTACACAGTGTTAATAGCTCTGTAACACATATGGGGGTTTATGGTCAAGAATAGCATGTGACAACTCACAGAAACTCCTCAACTGTAATGTAGAGTTAATAACCTGAGGTTTTATCATGTCAGGTGTAAAATGCATTTATTCTTCGCCTTCCATTCAAAAAATTAGCAACTTCAAAGCACTTTCTAGAACAGCTCCTGAAAATGGATTCTATATAAATGATTAGCAGTGAAAAGAATTTAAATTAGAGTATTGCCTCCAGATACAGCAGGGTTCCAAAATATCCTTCAACAGTAAGTCATGGTGCCAGCCACCAGATCTTCCAAAATGTTTACCAAGGCTCCTCTTTATTAATAACAGATAACAGCAACAACAGCTTATTTGGAAACGTCAAAACTACCAGAGATGTTCCAGGAGTAACAACAGTGGCAAATTTGAGAACAACCAGAAGTCAGAAATTCTAAAGAACCAAACGATGATTAGGGCTGAACAAGTGAAGCTTTTTTTCCCCAGAATCATTCTCCTCGGTAAATGATTCTGACAGATTTTAGACAATAATGTGTGTAAGATTTGAATGGGAGAAAGTCAGAGGACTGTTGCAAGTACCAGAAGCACTCCAGGAGGTCACAGGTTTCTCCTCAAAAGAAATGAAACCTGGTGTCCTAGTGAGGATGAGGATAAGGGCAGGGGGGCTGTGCTGGTGGCACTGTTTTTGCTGGAGATTACATCTTGTAGAGATAAAAACACTGGCCCTATTGTCGTAACCACGGCCAATCTCATTCAGTTGACACTCTACTTCATTGCCTTTCCTTAACAGATCAGACTGTGTGTTGGGAGACTTGGATTTGACTTCTAGATCTGCTTTGGAGTAGTTGCCTTTGAGAAAAATCATTCTGTCTTTTAGACACTTTGTTTACCTTTCTGTTCAATAGAAATTATTTTAGTGTCAGTGCTACATAATTTCACTGATTATTTTACCTGCCATTTCAGCAGACAGAACAGGCCTCCTATTCCCTGCACGTTTTCAGCTGTGTGCTGACAGCTGCTGTTTTTCATGCCATAGCCAGCGTAATCTCCAAAGTAGGTGAGGAGATGACTGCAGTGAAAATCAAGTGCTTTGGAATAAATGCTCTAGAATAAATGCAGTATTTTCCTCAGTTATATGATTAAACCAGGTGTTTTATCTGTCCACAACCATTAAGATATACAGGAAATGATGTTAAGCACAAAACCCCAAGTTAAGAACAGGACTGAAATTCTGACTCCGGTTCAGAGGCCATTTGTAACACAGCTATTTTAATGTTCTATGCAAATTCTTCTTTATATGTAACAGTCATTATAGAAATGTAACCAAATGATCTAGGAATGTAACAGAAGAGCACAGAAGTGTGACACCTGAGCCCATTCAAAAGGAGAATGACTCCAGCCGAGGGCAAACTATCAAAGAATTCCATCTGAGAGCTATTGACAAAATAGGTAATTTGCAAGGACTCTTTTAAAAAAAGTACTTTAAATAAAAAGTCAATGAGAAAAAAGTGTTTCAGAATTTTCTGTTGAAGGATTACCACCATGAGCAAACCAGTTCTTTATTAAATGGGTAAGCAAGAGCCTGTAGCTCTTTAATGATGTACCTCATCCTATGGTCACAGTAGAAAGCCTGATTTAAAATCTTCTATTTGCAGGTATTTAACTATTCATACGTAGTAACACAGACCTATCCATTCATTTGGAAAACATACAAGATTTTTAATTTGAAGCAAAGTCGAAAGTACAAATAATCTTTGAAGTATTTCCCATTAACTGAGGAATACAGCAAAGTGAAAATAATGATCCTTACAGTTTGTTCATTTCTCAGATATCTCAGTTTCTAAAGCAAAGGCATGAAGAAGGAAGGTTTTCTTCCATCCAACATATCCTTCATGTATATAAATGCACTGTTTGGATTAAGACAAAGTTCGACAAGAGCAGGATTTGCATCACCAGTTACACACACTCTCATTTGGAAAAAATGATTCAGGAGATTACAGACACACAGGGGAGGAGGAAGGAGGACAAGCACTATGAAAAGCTTTCCAAGTTGCACACACATCAGTAGAAAGACATTTTGCTTCTCTACCCTACATGAGTTTTGTTTCAAACATTTAAGACAGGCTACATTAGTATTCTAGTTTAACACAGTAATAATATGTACAGAGAAATTTACAGAGACTTGGTAGCCTTCCTCCACACCCAGCGTGATTAAAGTTTTAATTGAGAAGGGTGTGGTGCAGAATTAGTCTTACTACTGTAAAAAGATTTACTTCAACTGTTGAGCCTTTGAATCGTTGTGTAGAGGATTACCCCTCAAAAGCAAATATTTTCCTGCAAGTATAGATATAAATCCTTTGCATCATCTGAATCAACATATCAAACAGACAAACTATCTTAAGGCACTCTTTTATAGGAGCAGTGACACAACAATACCATCCACAGAGCACGGGACTGTTAACTTATTTTTCTAACTTAGAGAAGCAGATTTAAGATGCATTTTGCTACCCGTGAGTAGCTGTCATGATGAAATTGTTTGGTGCTTGTAATTCATTGGTACATGACTGCTCCTTGAGCAGCTTTTAACTACTATTTAAGACACTGATATTACTTTAGATGCTTCTCAATAATAATTCTAATCAGGAATAATATCAGAAAAGGCTAATGATAAAAACCTGATTACACTGAGGAAAAAAAACTCAAAATACCTCTTCATCTATTTTATATCAAGAGTGTCTATTTTTTATTCCTTCTAAAAAGCTAAAGTCATAGGCAAATGTGTGCTGACACAAAAAAACCCACAACTTTAAAAGCACTTGACAGTATTATCTCATTAGCAAAAACAGAACACAGCTTTAGAGATGTAATCTACTGGGGTTTTTTAGATGATATTACAATCTATATATAAGACTTTATTAGTGAAAAAAATTCTTACCCAGAAGATCCAATGCTTTTGCACACACCAAGAAGAGGCCGCTTCTCAGAAAAACTATCACATTTCTGAGCACCTGTTAAGAGCGAAAGAAAAAAAATAAAGTCACTATGTACGGTTTGTGTGACCTTTCAATGTACAGGTATGCACGTTGAGGGGCCCAATATACTGGAAGGATACTGAATATATAATATACAACTCACAGCCTGTACAAGTTTACTGATAGAAATAGAAATAACAGGCAGAGCCATGAACACTGGAAGAACTGTTCTTGAAAGACAGCAATGAGTAACAACACAAGTAGCAAAATCTGGTGAGGATTTTGGAGTTATTTTCCATTCATTTCAGTTGAGGTTAAGGATCCTGTAACTGTAACAAGTAACGCTTGCTCACTTTTCATTGTTTCATAAAAGCTGTCTGTAATGAGGCTGTCACCAGCTCTGTGTGGATTTCACACGCTGGTTTCCAGTTTATTCTGCCGAGGTAGACGCGGAGTATAAACGTGTCACCCGTAAGAGCAGCCCCTCTCTTTAGCACATGACAGGCTGAGCTGCCAGTGTTTACCCCAGACACGGCCATGCTTACAGCCCATGTCCTGTGCCTAAGAAAATACAAGAAGAAATTCAAAACAGTCTTCAGTAAGTTCCACCACAGAGTGAGTTAAGCCTCTGAGAAAGCAACCTCCAGCAATTTTCAGCAAGACTTGGGCTACGCCTGTCCACTCAGTGAAAGCACAGCTCTAACACCAAATCCAATCTACTTTTAAGGTTGGCCTCATCACGTAAGGCCAGTGCAGGCCCCCGAGCAGAGCCTG